CTCTCTTCATTGGAGGTGGCTATCCACTCCGGCGGCCGCTCTGGCGACAGTTCCAATGATCTCTCCGGTGGCCATTCCGGTGACAATTTCGACGGCCGCTCCGACGACTATTCCGACGATCACCCTGATGCTATTTTCGGTGGCTATTCACGATCCCTCGGCAAACTGCTCCAATGACCACTCCAACGCATGCCCTGATCAACCTATGCACCCCATCCACCCATTTCCCAACTTTCAAAAAATTTCCAGAATTTTAAGTCACAATCGGTCATAATTGGTCACAACGAGTCACAATTAACCAGTCACAAACGATCACAACAAGTCACAATAAACACATATTTGGTCACAAATAATTACCACAAACAATCTGCATACACCACATCAAATTGGATAAAAAAACCACCAACAAACTCCAACAATTTAAAAGTCAAATCTATTGGGCAAAAATGGCTATCAAAAATAAACTTTACATTTCAAAAACCACGACCACCATGGTGACGATTGCGGCTACAGTGTTCTCAAAGTTCAAAATCTCAAATAGAGAAGAATATGCCCTATAGACTACATTGCCTTCTCAGGTCCCATTGTGATGCATCCATAAATACACAAAGGCTGAGAGGACTCTATCTTCGTTAAGCCGATGTTACGGAAAGCAAAGGCTGAGAGGACTTTGAATAGGACGCTAGTAAACTTATCGTAAGCGAGGCAGCACTTGAAAAAATATCATGTACAAAACAATCGACAAGTTATTAATTGTCATTGAGTCCAGCCCTTGCATTGCGGAGGAGGAGGCGACAACGCATGGACAAGTGGGATGCGGAAGGCTGTGGAGGACGAAGGCGGTATCGGCATACCCCGTTCTTCCACCGCTGCTGCTTAGGCAGTCATGTGAGAAGGAAACTTCTTGCTACCTACAACTCGTGCCTGAAGCAGCTGCCTCCCTTCTACGCCGCCGTCGGCACCAGAGAGAGAGAGAGAGAGAGAGAGAGAGAGAGAGAGAGAAGTGAATTTAGGGATTTCAAAATTGGGTGCGTAGGTGGGGTGGGGTGTATATGAATTAATTTTTAGTTTTATAATATTAATTAATAATCTTATTTATCACCTGATTTTTGAGCTGTAAAACTTTATCCCTTATTTTTGAATTGTAATATTGAAAAGAAGGGTTTTAGGTACTTTTCTCTTAAAAAAATACATAATTATAAGGGGGCGTTTGGTAGTGATTTAAGAATTGATTCTCAAATCAATTCTCATTTTCAATCACACATTTTTCAATAAAATAATATTTTCCATCACATCAATAATTTTTTCTTCTTTTTCAACCGCACATTTCCCATCATATCGCTATTCAAAAATTAATTTTTCCCCCAAAAATCCCTACCAAACAAGCTCTGAATGTTTTGAAATATAATTTCAAAAATAAGAAATGTGGAATTTTTTCAAAAATAGATGGTCATATTTTGTGACCTATGATAACGAATTGTGATTTATAATATAATTAAACAACCCATATCGATAACAATACACCATTTATGACTTCGATCATATATTAGTCATAAAACATACAAGTTCACAATTACAAGATAAAATTTGATGGTCACAGTCAAGTCTAATCACAAATTGTTGAGGCCTTGTTTGATACCAATTGAAATCTAGATTTTAGTTTAAATTAAAGACAACAATTCATTTCAACCACAAATTTTATGGGTTCCACAATTTTTTAACTATATATTTCATCAACTTCTATTAAAATCTACTAAAAATCTAATTTTAATCACCAACATATAGGGTCTTAACATGTTACAAGTTATTCAATTAACTAGTCAGGTATATTATTCACCCCACCCCACCCCAAACCCTACAAGGCTACACCACTCCACCGCCCCCGGCGCCACCAAAATCAAATCCACCGCATCCACAACCAGTAGGCATCGCCTACAATGCTGCGCCCCCAAACTAATCTGTCATAGGTACATTGTTTAAAATAAATAAATAATGTTGGTATTTATTAGCAGTCGGTAATTTAACAATTCCGTCGGTAAGCTATTAGCAATGGAATCTAACCGTTGGTGAATTTTCGTCACTGATAGGTCTCATTCTAGTAGTTTAAATTTATGTACCAATTGTGAATATGACATTTTCATCACGTCACAAATTATGTGTCACCATACTCGACACATCAAGTATATAATTTGTGAGATTCTGCATAATCGTGAAAACTTAGATTAATAACTCAAATTAAATATGCGAACAAACGATAAAATCAAATTATGATTTATAACGTCGTTTACAAAATGCTACTCTAAAGGCATTAAACTAACATTTATAACATCATATTAGCTCCAATCAAGCCTTGGAGAGAAATTTAGAACACAAATAAGAGCAAACTCTAATCTACAAATTGTGTAAAACGAGAGAATTATTAAGGTGTTTCTGATTTTAGAAGGCGAATGTAGTACTTTTGGGCATGACTTGCAACTTGTGTTGGGGTCTTTGTCAATACACAATTTCTTGAAATGCTCTTCCAATCTCCCCTCCCATACTTTTCCAGTCCAAAAAGAAATTTCCTGCATCAACACAAAATCAAATACTTACGCCGAAGAAAAGAGTGCAAGTAATTAAACAAATATTTATGTATATACTCATGTTCTTCCTTGGTCCAACGAATGGACTTCGTCTTCTGTTCTTGTGTCGATTTTCTTTCTCTTCTCAAAGCTGATTTGGGCTTGTTATTATCAATCTCTGTATAGTTAGGTAAAGGAACATGACCCGATTTGATCATGTCGACATCCTCTACCAATGCTTTGTAATGTTCTTTAATTTGTTCGATGGTTTTTCCAGGGATGATTGAAGCAATCTTGTTAAATATATATGGGAATTCAATGTTATGATCTCCAATAGCTTTCTCAAATAGAGCGTTCTCCTCAATGGTCCAATCTTCACTTTTTTGCGGGATTTTCGAGCTAATAAAAGATATTTCATTTTCGTTAAAACTGGTACTCGATGAAAATGAAAAATTCATCGTAATCTTTACAAGGAATTCTGATAAATGGAGCGTCGTCGATAAGATTATTACAATTTATAAAGGTAAAATATTTAAAGGTATTAAATATAAGGGAAGGCAGCATTGAATAACACTTTTAATAGCTTGAGAATCAGGGCAGCATCAATGAAGACATATTATTATTCTCACCATAAATAACCTTATTTAAGAATACAGTTTAGACATTCATTTTTTCCGCGTAACCGCAAAAGAATTCGAGCTTTATTTCCATTTTCTGAAATTTCAATTGGGAGAGAAAAAAAAAATCCCAAAAGACAGAATTTTGTTAAAATTCAAAACGTATAACTTAGAAGGCTATTTTCCATGTAAGACATGGGGGTGACTTTCGTTAATTGCTGAATTAATAAAGGCTCTAGAATATGTGGGTTCAAAAGATGTTTGAGTGAAACATGACTATGATGAGTAGGGGTAGACAAAAAAATGAAAAACCAACCAAACTTGGGTCGGTTTGAATAAAAAAATTGGTTTGGGTCGGTTAAGTTTAACCTTAAAAAGTGGGGTTGGATTATTTGGGATTTAAACAACCGACCCGTTAATTAACCAATTCAACCAGTTGATGCTCTTTTTCTATTTTTTTTTCATTTTAAAATTCAGATTTTTAAACACAAACATAATTTTTTTAAAAAAAAAAAAAATAATAACACAAACATAATTTTTTCTCAAATAACTTGTCAAATCATCCATGCCTCTTCTACCAAAACATCAAATTTCAAAAGAAAAGAAAAGCTAGTAGAAGATTTATTAATTTATTTTTTATTTATATTTACCAAGGGATATATATATATATATATATATTTATTTATTTATTTATTTATA